ACAACAAACCTCTAAACTTGTAAAGCTAAGTGATTAAAACATGCTTCAATTCTAGTCTAACTTAATACTATTAACTCTCTCTCGCCTTCAGTTCTACTTGCATATTTTTTTCTACTTGTGTGTAAGATATATTTAATTGGAACATAAAGTGGAACTCCCTGAGTCACTCCATTTTTTCATTAAATGTTTTTGCTTTTTGACTATAAATTCTTAAAAAGAGAATTAAAGAAATGATCGACTCATTGACTGATTCACTCATCACTTAAGATGTAATTATTGAATATGTTTTTGATAGGGACAGTGAGATTGAAAATATCAATGTAATCCTATAAACAGAAAAGAAAAACAAATCTTATTGTAGAATGATGTTTTAGGCTTATCAGTAATTTAAAGAAATGTTATTTTATGTAACCAAGCTTCAAAAGAAACATTCACCTTGCAACAAAGGAAATTTTGGCTAACTTAAAAAAAAGAAAACAGTTAAGCCAATATTTTAATTTTGTTCCTTCCAGCCACTTAAATTGTATGAGTAGTTAAGAAGAGAAACTAAAAAAAAAAATTACTACTTTTCTGCTTGCTTAATTATGCTCAAGTTTCCTTGCTTGATTACACTCACATTCAAAGCAATTTTGTTCATTTTATGAAAAGTGAATTCTAATTTTCCTGCATTGTTTAGTTAAAATAGTCTACTATGTGAGCTTCTTATTAATTCCTTCTTTGACAATGCTTTTCTTTAATAAACACTATAACTGTTCCATAGAGTTTTCGCTAACTTGTTTTACTATCACTATTTTCAATAGCAATTTCATTTAATTAGCTTTTTAAAAAAGTATCACTGTCCAAGGTTACAAGTGTGTAATTTGCCCTACTGGAAAAACAAAACCTATACTAGCATGAATCTTTTATAGAGGAAGATTATCATAGAAGCCTCTGGGTACCCATTCATGTCAAAGAGTTTCCAGATTACTGATAGAGCTTTGAATCTTATGTCTCTTTATTTTAATGACTACAGTTGTTACTTAATGAATTTTGGAAAGTTGAAAACAAAACCTCACAACAAAAAAAATAGCTAATTCAGGAAAATGCAGAGTTTATCACATGCTCAATAGGCTTATCTTCTCCAGGTATTGGTTACCTAGAAACGGAATATTTTAGGATTCAAAAGAAAAATTAACATTTAAATAATGTATTACCTTAGGAAACTCTTCTTTGCATGATGTTAAAAATTTAACATTATTACACACAGGTACATAACATGTTTTCTCTTTATAAAAATCAACAGATTGTGTAGGAATTTGGGGCAAAGCTCACATTAAAATCTCATTGAAACTTCCTATTCCCTTTCTTTCCTGTTGGCACTATTGTACCTTCATTTTCTTGCCAAATCTGTTGTTTCTTTTACTACCTCAGCTCTCACATCCTTAAAAGGATGGGTTCCGACAGTCTGCTATTCATCCCCCCTGCCTTTTTTTTCTTCCTCTTTCCTTTTTGTTAAGGTTCTTTCCCTTTTCTTGCAGAGGTTTAGCAAATTTCTTACAAAGATTGGCTTCAGCCCCATATTTCCATGGTGTGAGCTCCTAATTTAAGAGCAACTTCTGGGCCAGACTATCAGGACATCCCTCCATCCTCTCAGAATCAATCTATCCACAGCCAGTTCCTATTCATTTACATTATGGTGACAAAGATGTCAGTTACGCCATGGCTCACATGCTGTCACTACAGAAATCAGCGCAAACAGCTGTGAAAGTGAATGCCAGTTACGGACGTGAGCATCATATTTACGAGGAGAAAAACGGAGTGTGGCTATCATACTAGAGGAATAAGGGAACACAGGCAGAGTTTAGTATATTAGGATGGTTCCCCAGGTATAAAGTGATTAATGCCTGCAATAAAAAGATAATTTTTGACTCTAGTAATAAGTGAATAAATTAAGTGAGGAAGAACATCAGCAAAATGTCAGAGAATTATCTTTGATGTCAGATAATTTTCTTTGGGCTGAATTGAGTTACCCCCAAAATTCACATGCTGAAGCCCTCATATCTAGTATCTCCGAATGCGACTATAATTGGAGATAGGGCCTTTTAAGAAAAGATTATTTTAAAATGAGGCCCTCAGGGTGGGTCCTAATCCAATTTGACTTGTAATAAGAACTGAAAATTTGATACAAAGAGATACCAGGGATGAACAATCCCAGAGGATAAGCCATGTGAGGATGCTCAATAAGATGACCATTTACAGAGAGAAAGGCCTAAGAAGAAACCAGGCCAGCCATCACTCTGAGCTGTTGCTTCGATGTCACATTTTTTACTACTTTGTTAAGGCAACCCTAGAAGACTAATAATACCCATAGAAAAATCAAAGGAGATGAACAGTACAACACGATGAGTCCATTACATAGGACCCTATAGTTTAAATCACAGAAAGGGTGTAATAGGAATTGAAGCAGAACATTGCAGTCTATTTTTAATAATTTCTGTTGTTTATTATAAATTAGTCCTTCAAATAGTATCACAAATAATAATAAAACTCTATATATAAAAAATAAATAGCACACTTCATTGTCTCCTTCTTAAATGTCCCTCTCTATATTTTCTTATTCTCTCATTCTCTGTACCTTCTCCACCTCCATATTCTTAAGGGTCTTTTTTTTTAATTTTTAACACAATACATGATAATTTTACATAGTTATGAGCTACAGTGTGGTGATTTGATACTTATATATAATTTATAATGATCAAATCAAGATGCTTAGGAGTTCCATCTCCTGAAACATTTATAATTCCCTTGTACTGGGAACATTTGAACTATTCTAGTTCCTCATGAAACATAATAAATTGTTGTAAACTATAGTCATTCCATGCTGCAAAGCACTAGAACTTATTCCTCCTGTCTACCCCTGTACTCTTATCTGATCCTCTTCTAGGCCAAGTTTCTTGAATAATTTGTTCATAAAATTAAATCCACAATCCTACTCCCTCCTCAGCACCTCAAACCAGTTTCTTATTACATAACTGTCCTAGCAGGACCTATCTGTATCTTCAGTGCTCAGGGCACTAACATTCAATAATGGGACCAGTTCTGAAGATGGAAGATGAGGTTCCATTCAACGGGTTTCTTTTCCCTACCTTCACCATATGTCATGGTTGATTTAAATGGTCAACTTGATTGGATAAAGAGATGCTGAAGACTAAGAGGCTTCTGGGTGTGTCAGTGAGACTGTGTCTAGGAATGATTGGCATGTGGGAGAGTGAAGTGAAGACCCTCCCTAAGTGGGGGCAGGACCATCCAATAACGTTGGAGGCTTGGATGAGAATGAAAGTTGAAAGAACAGGGAAGCTGCAGCAGATGCAAGCTAGATGCTTCTTGAATGGGGTCTTGATTGTTGCTGCGATTGCCTGAGGATGTCAGACTCTCACTCCTTCAATCTTCCAAAGTGGACTCTGCCAGTGATTCTCCAGGGAATCTCCAGAAGCCTTCAGTCTTGGACTAGGATAGCAACATTGATCCCTCTGGTTCTGAGGCTTCAGCATCTTGGACTGTGCTGCTACTGTTTCCTCCAGCTCTCCAGCCTACAGATGGCTATTGCGGACTACCAGCTTCTGGTTGTGTAAGCCAATCTAATAAATTCCCTTTTTATTATCATACTTCCTGTTGATTCTGTTCCTCTAGAGAACCATGACTAATACACCATTTTAACAAATTTCATCTAACAGAGATAAACACCACCTAATTGTTAATTCCAGTAGGCCTCATTTAATCTATTTCTCATTTAATTTAAGGTACATGGGCAATTCATTACTCTTCCTCTATTTGTTGTTCTTTTTAACCCCTTAGAGAATAATATGTCTTCTTTTCTTGGTTCTTCTACCCCTCTGACTTACCGGATTATGCCCCCTTTCTGAACTTTATTCCACCTGTATTTTACACACATTGATCTTATTATACAGTCTGATCCTCAAACCAGTGCTTTTCTTAATCTAACTATCCCCTTGGATTTTCCCACATATTCTTGTGGTTTTAAGATAAATGTATGCTGCTTGCCCCCTTTTCCTTCCTGATCTAAAATATACAGTCCTAGCATCTTCCCAGAAAAGCAGGCTTATAATACAAATCTTTACTGGACAACTCCTCCTGAGTGTACCTGTTGCATTTGGGACACATAGGCCTGTATCTTAAATGAAGCCACTACTATCTGCAAAATTATTCAGCTTAATACCTTGCAGTCAGCCCATGTACAACCACTGAGTCATCAAACCTGAAAAATTCATCTAATATTTCTTAAATGTGGTATTGTTTGTTTTGCTCAATTGGTACTCTTGAAAGTCTTGGAGATCTATTGCCTAGACTAATGCAACAACCCCTTAACTGGTTTCTCTAATTCTTATCTTGGTCTTTTACATCCATCTTCTGTACTGTTATGAGTAAGATAATGAAAATATCAATCTGACCACGACATACCCTTGTTGAAAGCTTCTGGACATTCTTACCCCAAAAGATACAAGTGCATACAAACATAACACAATGCATGCACTTCCTATTATGATGGCTTACAAGATCATACTAAAGACGGACCTTAAATATTCCTTTTGCCTGAGTTAACACTAAATTTGTGGAAGTTCTCCTGATCTTTTGAGGCTGTTTCATTTCTCTGACTTAGGGCACTCTGCTTTCTCTGTCATGAAGTCCTTCTCCATCTCAGACTAACTGCTTTCCTGTAAGGGCTTTTGATTTTCTTTTTCCAGATTTCTTCAGAGACACATTCTTGATGGATCAGGTGACATTCATATGTGCCATAGAATAGTCTTACCAAATTCAGTGTATTGGAATAACATGCTAGTTTTTAGATAAGGGGTATTTTATTTCAAATTCTATATACCTACCATGGAGTATTTGTATATGGCAATCTGAACTCATTCTGTATCAGTTATCAGAAATTATGTATTCATTGTATTATGAAGGCATATATTTTGGATTTCTATATTTTAAAATGAATTACTCACCATATTTATGGGGTCAACTGGTCCAATGCTGTTTACATAAACATCAGTTTCTATTACTGTGGGCCTCACTGCAAAACATCAATAAAGAGAATATTATCAGAAATTATCTTAAAGAAATCATAGTTTTAAATAAATCTTGATAACTCATGTTTTTATTATTTCAATCATAAAACATTCCTCATGATGAAATGTAGACACATTCTCTATTTCAAAAACATAAAATTTTTTCAGTTGAAAAATCAATGATTTATATAAAAAAATGCTTTAACTAAAAAATTCCCCTGTGAAAATAATTTAAATATAAAACATCTAAACCAGTAACCTAAGATAAAGTTTCTAGTGTAAAACATAATTAGATATTTAGAGCTACCTGAGATAAGAAAGCTAATTCACTAAAATATTTGCTAGATAATTAACTTGTAGAATTTTGAATTAGGAGGTATGCTAGAACCTAAATAGTATGTAACTCTCCTTATTGCCTACCTATAGTGTTCTGCTAAATGTTTAACAAACTTGCTCACAGAGAGGTGAAAAAAATGCACTAATTTGTAGTTTTTACTGATTTCAAAGTTGCAAATACTCCCTCAATGCCTGATTAAAGATATCAATATGAAATCACGGAATTCAGAGCTAGAATAATATATGGTTACATGTCTATTGTGAACCAGCAAGAACCAGTTGTAGCATACATTGGAATTTGTAATATAGCTATTAGGATTAAAGGACATAATGTCTGTAAAGAAATCACCTCCAGGTCTAACTCATATGATCTTAATAAATATTTATGCATACCCCCTTCCTCCCTCCCTTATTAGCAACATTCTTTTAGATTGGTGATAGCAAATTCCAAGGTTCCAATGTAAGGCACCTATTTACTTAATTCTCAGTTATTGTACAGGCATCCCTATGGACCTTATCTATTGTGCATTGTATGTAACCATTAGTATTTTTCCAGTTAGTCTTTAAAAGGCACATTCAATACGTTTATATTATATCAAAATGTGTACAACTTGTCAGGTTTGTGAACACTTATCAAATGATATAGTTAACAAATATCCACAGCAGTGCCTTATTTGATGGTGCTCTAGACTTCTTGAGATCAATGAGATTTTTGGGTTCTGTTTTGGTTTACATGTGAGGTGTCCTCCAAAGATTCATGTGTGAGATAATGCAAGAAAGTTCAGAGATGAAATGATTGAGTTATGAAACTCTAAACCTAATCAGTGCATTAATCCATTGAAATGGATTAACTGAGTGGTAACAATAGGTAGAATGTGGTTGGAAGAGGTAAGTCACTGGGGGCCTGCATTTGGGGTATATGTCTTGTCTCTGGTGAGCAGAGCACTGGCTCTCTCGCTCTAGCTCTCTCTCTCTCTCTCTCCTTTCTTGTTGCCACGTCTAGAACTGTCTTCCTCTGCCATGCCCTTTGGTCTTGATGTTCTGCCCCACTTTGAGCACAGAGCAATGCAGTTACCATCTACCAACTGAGACCTCTGAAACCATGAGCCCCAAATAAACATTTCTTCCTTTACATTGTTCTTTTTAGGTCTTTTGTTCACAGTACTGAAAAAGCTGACTAAAACAGATTCCTTTAATGAAATTTACCTGAGTAATGGTGATTTATACCCATATATTTTTCTGTTTGCTATGAAAAACATTTTCACATAATTTCTATTACTCCCTTGATGATCACCACCCAATAAGATACCAAGGATTCATTTTCTAATTCAGAAAATGCTTGTTAAGGAAGGATATAAAGCATTTACAAGGTGAACCACAAGAAGACGAGCATTTCAAGAAGATGATCTGTCACATATTTCACAAAGAATTTTATAAAGAGAAAGGTAAATGAGATAAAGCAAAAAAAAATACCTTGTAGGTTCAAATTTTCTGGTATTACAGTAGAGTTTTAATTACATTTGTTCAATTCCCCTTGCTGAATTGTCTGTATTCTCTTTTTGGTCTAGTATTTATCACTTATAATTCAGAGGTTGCGAATGACCTGGCAGGATATATCTCCACCTTTAATACATGGCCCAATCTGCCTGTCTGAATGTTTCTGCAGCCCTATTCTCTCTATTGGTTATTTTCCAATCTGGCACAGTTTCTAAGCTACCAAAGCTCCATGGTAAAGAGACATTTTGCAAAATAGTACTTACATGGCTTTAAAACAATATTTATTTTTACCCCTTGCAATAAAAAAAAAAAAAAAACACTTCTTTTAGGAAAACATACATTACATAATGACTTTTTTTCCCTCAGACAAAAAAAAAATTCTTACATGTTATACATATTTTATTAACTAGAAATGTGTTTTTAAAAATATTTTTAAAAACAGTTTCAGTATGTGAAACTAAGCTTTCATACTTTTACAATAAATGAAAAGGTAACTCACCCTGCTAGTCAACCCTTAGATGATGTAAATAAAAGGATTTTATAATTTAACTTAGGTTGATGATATTTTCTGAGATGAGTTGTTTTAATTGTTTGCTACATTTTTTCTGACAAGTTATACATTGTGGCCAATTAATATCTGTAATTAAGCTAATTTCAGCTACTGGTTTTTCCAAAAGCCAATTAAAAATACTAAAATAGGTATTTTAATTTCACTTACATAAAGCAATTATAACTGAGGTAAGCGCATACCATTCTTACATAGATTTTTTTTCAAGTATACTGATGAATCAACAATATTAAGTTCCTGATTTTATTGCTCAATACTCAGGGCTGAATACTGTTTACATTGAGAAATAAATGATTCTTGAGGAAATTTTTAGTTAAAGGACATATTTGTCATATTTACAGAGCAGAAAGTTTGGTAGGAGAGTTACCCTACTTTCTGGATATCAAAATCTCCCAGCTAACTATAGGATGAAGCTACATATATCATAAAACCCTTAATTCTGGCCTTAATATATGAGCTACTTAGCAATGGGGATATAATCAACATGAAGCAACTGCACCTGGGCTGGGACAGTAAGTTCAAGGTCGAACACTGCTATCAATAAAGAAGATACTCAATTAGCAATCATTAAATAAATATATGTTTGCAAAGTATGAATCATGTTGTTATTTTGTAACCTATTTTATAATTTTATGCTGCTGGCCTTTGATCTATATTTTAATCTGCATGCCCAAAAGTTGAGGAAGAATAAAGTTGAAAGTAAAACAAAATATCCCAGATTAATTTTGAAACTATTGCTGGTGATTTTATGCAACAAAATATATAATTAAGAGAAAACCAAAAGAAATTTGTAACTGCTCCTTAATAATGAGTCCTTGTCACTTTGATTGACTAAGGGTATGAATAATACTGTGGGTAAAACTAAAATTAAAGCTTCTTAAAAGGTGAGAAGATACCTTTTCTCAGTACTATGATTTTTTTTTTTTAGTATAAAGTTTGTTCAACTGCAGGATCTTCATGATGTTCAAAAAGGAAAAACACAATATTTTAATTCAAAACTTGAAAAATGCAACTGAAAAGGAATTGTCATTTTAGGACTATTTAATGATGTCTTGAAAGTAGACACAGACTATGTTTAATTCATCAATACACAATAAGATCAAAGATCTTTCTTTGCAGTAGTGTAACAATGAGTCAAAAACCCATGTACTGCTACAGCAAATTACATTTTTTTTAATATATAGAAGGCAGATAGAGATGACATTAGATCATTTTTGCAAAACCTCTTTCTGTGCTATGATTTAAGTACTTTGCTTTAAGAACACCAGCAGAATGTAAGTAGATAAACTCCCAGAGGGAGTGAGTAGATAGAAAGAATAGAGTCACAGTAACTTGAGCATCCACAGAATAGGATGAGGAAGAAAAACTTTAATATATTAAAGAAGAAAACAGTGAGACCAATAAAATTTCCACATTTGGTTAGTCCGTAACTAAGGCACAACTGAGGACAACCAATCCTTGATGTGGATAATTGGCTTATCAATAAGAAAATATAAATATTTTAATTTTTTTCCTCAATCAATTTAAACATGTTTTCTTAGTCACCCTACTACGATCTTTTTAAGAAATTTCCAGCCAGTTATATAGCTTTTTGGTAATGTTTACTTATTAAAATAAATAAGGTCAATTAAAATTTCTAATCATAAGGAACAGTTTTACAGTTTTTATTTCTTATCATCCAAGAATAGTTGTTAAAAATAAGTAAATAAATAGCTCCACTAATCTAGATATTATAGATATTATAGTTACTCCTTCAATGTATGTTATTTCATTCAACTCATATATTGACAGAGATTAATCAATACATTTCAGTTCTTAAAACATCTCAGTCTGATTTATCTATCAGAATTATATTGAGTGAATTATACTGATTTAGTGAAATGAGTTGGGAATCTCTATTTTTCCACTTACTAAAAGTTATTTTATAAGATTTATATTACTTCTTTCTTTCATATCTGATAAAATTCACTACTGGAGAGGAAAAAAAATGACTATTTCTGACCTGGATCCTTAGCCTTGAAATACATTATTGGGACAAGTGAAAACTGAACATTAGTATTCAATGGTAGTAAATATATCAATATCATCTTTCTGGTTTTGATGGTTGTACCACACTTATATGAGGTTAAAATAAACAAATTTAAAATAGAAATCAATAACAATAAAATAGATCTTGAAAATTCCCCCAAATATTTATAAGTCAAGCAATATTTAAAAATAATCCATGAAGCAGAAAGAAATTTAAGGAAATTTTTTTTCACAAAATATGAAAGAATGAAAGCCAAGTTATGAGTTAGTAAAATTGACCAAGAAATTCAAAAACATTAAAATAAATCTTTATTTGCTTAAAGAAAAACCTGTGTTTATTAAGGAGATTGAATTTATAACCAAACATCTTCCAACAAAGAAAATCCAGACCAACATCACAGTTTACAATCATCTCACTGGGATGAGAGAAAAACCTGAATAAGGGCTGGAAGGAAACAATAAGGAATTTAGTTCAACATTCAACATGCAACTTCCCCTGAAGGTATTTGCTAATTCCTGCAGTGTTCATGTGTATGATGTGATGCTGACAAACCAGATATAAATGGTGTCTAAGCA